GTCTACCTCTTGAACCTGTACTACGTTCTGCAAATTAAATTACTGTACTCCTTTCTTCTCTAGACTATAGCCATTCTCCCATTCACATTTTATAGGCACATCCTGTATATTCTTTAATTTTTCGCCAAAATTTCCATAACCGGTCTTAATAAATAACATCCTAATGTAAACCTCTCAAATAACAAACAAAAATAATAAGTTATAATTAATACATTTACATTATTCAAACATTAACTAATTGAAAATGTTTAAATGTTATTTACAATAAATAATAAGTACACCTCAATAGTCTTAATACTATAAAATTATTTATTTATCGTCTATTTGTAATATTCGGGCAATGCCCGCTAAAACTATACAAAACTGGTTTTTTGCATCAAAATGTATCACAAAAATGTCCGTTCCTTGGAATATTTTTACAAAAACTTTCATTGGTCTAAATTTTCAACAGTCCAATTTCCTCAACAAAACAAACAACAGACTGAAAACACTCAATGTAAAGATTAAAACGATAGAATGATATGGTAGTAATTTTATTGATGATTTTTTAAAAGTAATTAAGGTTATGAATGATGATTTGGTTTCAATATGTATGATGAAAGTTTGTGCTGCGAACGTTGGACAAGGATTATTCCAATAAAAGGCTAAATATTTCTGATAACACCCGCACACAAAAAAAAGTTGTCAGGACTTTTGACGGGACCGGTATATCTTTATGTATTTCGATCCGCTGAATCCGAATCTGAGTTCCGTTTGACTCGTACACCGTCAAATTTTCGAGAAAACTTTGAAAAACTCTGCTGATTTTCGTCATTTTTTTCGGTTTTTCCAAGTTTTCTCGAAAATTTGACGGTGTACGAGTCAAACGGAACTCAGATTCGGATTCAGCGGGCCGAAATACATAAAGATATACCGGTCCCGTCAAAAGTACTGACAACTTTTTTTTTGTGTGCTGGTTGACCCCGGTGCACATGGACATTAGACTGGGCCAAAAAAATAAAACAATTTTTTTTCTTAGCAGAACTATGAAAATATTGTTCATGACGACAAAAAAAAATTTTCCTGAAAGTTTGAGCCCTTAATAATAATATTAAGAGGTGCATCATTGCAGTTATTGATTTTTCAACAGTTGTCGCGTTTTTGCATAAATTTCGGACTTGGTCAATTTTAAAAAAAAATTTCATCTCTTATCCTTGTAGGAAATTAAATTCCCCACAAAAAAGCTCTCTTAGTAAATTTTCGTAAGACGAGTCTATTCTTTGTAATCTTAATATTTAAGTTCATTTTGGAAATCCCAAATGCAAAGTGAAAAATTGAAAATATATACCAATGTTTAAGGCTCGATTACAAAGAATAGACTCGTCTTACCAAAATTTACTAAGAGAGCTTTTTTGTGGGGAATTTAATTTCCTACAAGGATAAGAGATGAAAAAATGTTTTAAAATTGACCAACTGCAATGATGCACCTCTTAATATTATTATTAAGGGCTCAAACTTTCAGGAAAATTTTTTGTCTTCATGAACAATATTTTCATAGTTCCGCTAAGAAAAAAAATTGATTTATTTTTTTGGCCCAGTCTAATGGACATGGAGCCACATAAATGTAAAAAGAAATGAGGTAGCAGATAGATTAGTAAATTTGGGCAGAAAGCAATAAGTAGACTATAGAGACTTATTACCAAGAGTTAAAAAAAATATGGGAAGACTGGGAAGAGGAGTGGAATAAAATAAGCAAAACAAAAAACACTTAAACAACATCAAAGACAAAATTTTAAAAAACCATGGTTTCAGGACGTTAATCTAAATAGGAATCAAATTACTACCATATGCAGATGTAGAATAGGACATTATTGGATACCAATTCATCTACATAGAATTGGACAACTGGACTCTCCCTCCTGTTATTGTGGTCAAACAGGTTCATTACAACACATATTCTGTGAATATAGAAATAACACACACAACAACATCAACAGATTAAATAATAAAATGCTTTAAAAAACACCCCTGGCATGCACTGCTTTTCATACTGCTTAGCAATCCAGATTCCTTAGATGCTTCATTTATAAACGAATTTTTAAGCAAAAGCAACATAATATAAATTACAGGAAGAAGTATAGAGCAAAAGTAAGGAAACAATGGTTTAGAGCCAGACGCAGCAATTGCAGTTTCCTCATGAAAAACTGACAAAAGCAAAACGAAAGACTGGGTAGATAGTGAAACGTAAGCCCATAAACTTGAAGAAGAAGAAGAAGCAGAAGACATTTTGTCTTTCATCGTGTATTTGGAAAAAAGTAGAATACAATTTAGAGGCTGCTCTCATTCATTTTCTGGAATGACCAGTGATTTTTTCCAAAATCAGTTATAGTTTGGTTCTATGAGGATAGGGTTTGCTTTCAAGACGAAACAAATTAGTAAAATAAAATATATTAATTCACTTTTTGATCGAAGTTATATCTAGTGTTCCACTTTTTTTACCTATTAGAGGTGAATATTTTTAGTGTCTATAATTTCCACATTTTTAAAAAGTTTATCAATGTAAGTTTCTATGTATATTTATGTTGTTTTTATGTTAAACATAGATTATTAAAGGTACTTTAATTATAATAGAATACTTATTTTTGTTTTTTTTATGATTAAAAATTTCTAGAAATTCCTGAAATATTGAGTGTCCCTTATATTTTAATATAATGAAATGTAGTTTTTTCATCACTCTTCTTCTAATGTTTTAATTTATTTTCTGTGTATTCATCTTTTTTGCTTACTTCCAATCTAACCAAATATGACATTTCATATTTTCAGGGATAGGACAATTATGTTGTTTCAAATACAATACATTGTATATTTTTCTCAATTTGAAAGTCCAATATTTCCTCTTTCTACAAGTGCCATTGCTTTATAGGGTAGGTAATACTAGGTTATGATTTTATTCGCTTTTAAAATAAATACTGGCATGCACATGTTGATAATTTTCAAGATGTACATATGAAACTTGATCTAACAAAGAGTAAAATACCAACTTTATTGAACAATGAAAATAACACGCAGTATTTATTTTTTAAGAGCTTATAAAGCCATTACCCTTTGTAACAATTATGAAAGTATGGCATTATGGAAAGGGGAAACGAGTGGGCTATAATATTGAACTGATATAAAAAAATCGAAATAACAGTTACCCTATCTCCGAAAATACAGAATGTAATAACTGCTTAAGCCAAATGGTGGGCAAAAAACGATGGGCACACAGAGAAAAACTTATAAAAATTAAAAGAAGACTGGTAAAAACTGCATTTCGTTATTTCAACTAGTTAAAAAGTAACATGCTTTTAGAAAGGTTCAAAATATAATGGAACACCTGGTATAGAAACAGGGAAATCCTGAGAGTTTAAAGCATATTTATAATGGTAAGTTTGATAGAATTTTAAATTTAACAGTGTAAGTCAAGTGTGATTTTGAATATTTTCAGATAATTCATTAATGAAAGTTCTTAGATAATATTTAAATTGAAAACCTTAAATAAGTTTTTAATTGTATGTTGCCAATAAGATAATTTTGTAAGTTTCTATAAAGTATGGCATATTCAAACTTGCCAAAAGCTATCAATAAATATTTAACAAACTTGCAAGGAAACTTGCATATTTATATTTGTAAGCTTGCGATAAATTTCCAGCAAATGTATTTTGCTTACTGGGATTTCTGGGTAGTCTTATAGTTTAGTGTCCCACTAAAGGGCATGTCCACACCATTGCTGCTCCTACTCGTTTTAACAATCGGAATTGTCACAGTTGCCAGGGTTATATAGTAATATTTTTAATCTAGATAAAAGTAACATATATTTTCAAGGACAAGGAAATTTTTTTTGAAAACAATAAAAATATCCTTTAATTGTAATTATTTTGATGTTTTTTTTTTTGTGAAACACACTTTTTCTTTGCCTTCAAAATTAAAAGATAGAAGAAACAAACTGCAAAACAAAAATAAACATTTGGCAATGTGGTAGGTGTAAAATTCAAATTCTGAACATCATTGCAGAGTGGAGAAGATAGGCATATTATTAGGACACTAAACTAGAAGACTACCTATTTCTGAATTGTAATGGTATCTAAGAACTTCATAATAATCCTAAACTTATACACCTAGTGACTTGTTAAAAGGAATGTTAAGTATTTATTTTGTGCTGTAGGAGTAGTACATAGTTTATATATCGGTTGGTAGACTTTTATATTTTACCTAGTGATCATTCCGTCTAAGAAAACAAATTATGATTCCGAGTACTGTTTACATGTAAGTCATGAAAACATAAAAAGTCATCCACTCGCATTTTTTCTCGTTATGAGATAACCTAATCATACAAGGAACTTGACTTACTAAATTATATTCATTTTTGCTACATTGATTTAATTTTTCTCTGAAATTGAGCAAATTTGTGCAACTATGTATACATATTTTTTGTAATGTATTCGTTTGTAACTTTATTTTATAAGAAAATAAACATAAAAATACCACAAGAAAAACAGATTTATCTATGTTTAAAAACAAACAAAAGATAAGCAAAAATATCTATGATCTAACCCCAGTAAATCCCCCATTTATGAATTTAGATATGTGGTACATTCTAACCACTAATATTTCTCATGTGTCAAATATTTATTCTATTGCCTAGAATGTGTTAACATTTTTACAAAATGATGCATTGCAAAGCTAAAAAATGTGCTTATCACTAAACAGATGGTTGGTACGATGCCGCCTTAGTTCCATTCCCGTTTATTTGATCAAGAGATAATTTTTTTCCAGGAATTCCGCAAAATAAATCCACATATTTAAAATACGTGTCTATTTTTGTACAAATAGATCATAAACCAAAATTTGAAAACTCAGAAACTATGACAAGGAACTCAAGGAAGTGATTGGAAAATAACCGACATAGCCTATACCTAGGTAATATTTTCTATAATCATCCCTAGATTATGTAAACCCATCTTAGTATATTTTCATCTTACCCGATATTACTGCGGCCACGAAAATAGATAACACTAATAATAACTTCAGGTTGCCCATATTTTTATACTATATTAAAAATAATTGTTAGAATCAAAACAAAGGTACTACAGATACAAGATGATCTGTCACAAATTAACAATCATTCAACGAAAACGACTATACAACTTGGAGAATGGAATACAAAATGAAAATGCGCACAATTTATGACAGTTGATAGTTACCAGAAGTGCGTTCAGAAATGCAGGATAAACGCGTCCGGATGTTCTTGACTCTAAAAAGCGTTCCTAAATGTGGAACGTTTTATCGAGACGAATTACCCCAGCCATTCATATTTAAAAGAAAATTGCGTCGAGATGAAGAAATTTTACCCACCGTGTTGAGTAGGGTAATTTTGATTAACCTGGAGAACCACCTATTTCATTTGCTATGTTTACTTTTTGAATAAAAATATTTAAATATAAATAATCATACGAATAAAAAAAATAATTCCATCAATTATCGTCTAGTTTCGGGGGATGATGACAATATAAAATTATATAACAAAGAATTAAAGGTAATGAATTGAATTTTTACATAAAAAACTTATCGTTCGTATTATTGGACAGAAACAAATGCTCGGACGAATTTTGTCCGATTGAAATTTTGACGGTCTCGTTTACGAACGCATCCCAGGGCTGATCTAATGACGTGAGCGACTAAACGTTAAGAAGCTGTTAACCAATGAGGAGAGGCTATTTAAAATACATATAAAAGCACAGTTATTTAGGACTATAATAATTGTATATTTGTTTATCTTTTAATTCTTCTAGCCAAATAATAGCTACACAAACTACCAGATTACATAAACAAATTTAGTTAGTACATATGAAATTACCTTAATATTTGAAAGTAGGCAACACACAATACGTTGTGTGACACCAGTTTTAAATAGACTTTCAATAGATGGACTCGCTGACTTGAAATTTTTTTACCAGGGGCTCGATTCTCGAGTTCATTGGAAAGTTTTCCCATGGGAAAAGATTCCACTACTTATATTCCCATGGTAATAGGTTATGCAATTCTCGAACTTGTCGGAATAGACATTCCCATGGAAATAATAGTTTCACGTATGTCTGATATTAAGTTCACGAATATTTCGAAATAACCAATAACATTAAAGATATTTTAAAATTTACTGTTGGTATTATTTGTATTTGTTGTGGTTTTTGGGTAACCGATTACCTGCCGAGCCTCTGCGCTGGAGCAGATGCCGTGCCGAGCAATCGCTAGCTTGACCGAGGACAAGTGAAAATATTCGATTATGTATAATTAAAACTTATCGAGTTATTTTTAGTTTTTCTTTTCACATATTGAAAAAAGAAAAAGTAGCTTTTGTATAGAAGAGCAACGAAAGTTTCGAGAAACTATATATATAAGAAATTCTTTCGTTAACGGAAATAATAAAATTTTCGAAAAGGTCTTATTAAATTTACTACAAATTTCTCAATTTGTGTTACCTATTTGCCAGTCCCTTAGCAGCTCCCACAATTTCTAACTAATTTAAGAAAATCAGTTTCTTAGTGAAAGAGAGGTAAAAATAATATACCCACATAAATAAAATAATATCAATTTATAAATACACAAAAAACATGTTTTAACTACAATTTCACCAAAAATCCAAGATATCCAATAATCTTTGGTTATGTCTTAGTCTTTCGCGTGGTCTTTCGTCAAATTTTCGACTTTAATGCGCAAACTCTAGTACAATTCCCATTGGAAAACACAATTTCCAATGCTCGCAAGCAGGGGAATATTTTCCCATACTTCTCATTGAAAAATATTCCACCGCTTATGCCGAGAATACGAAAACTGAATTCCCATAGGAAAATTTTATTTTCCCATGGGAATAAAAGTCGAGAATCGACCCCCTGGAGGTTTTCAAATTTAGAATTTCGTGGATGATATTACCAGTAAAAAATACAGAATACGTAGAATAGTTTTGGAACTCCAATCCATGATACATTTTAGGCTATTGGAAGTTTATTTCAAAAACAATTAATATTTGTTAATATAATTGTGTCACCATATTTGCTATTTTAAACAGATTTAATTTTCTTTTTTCACGGGTAAATTTCAAATTTATATAAAATAAATTACACATTCTTTATTTTTAAAACTGTCAGTATATATCGTCTTTAAGTCGACCCGGAGCGCCACGGCACATAATAATAATAGTCGTCCCTTTCCCTCTTCGAGTATATATATTTCCTTTCCCTACACAAGTCGCTCTCGCTCAGTCGACTTCAGGATATCAACAGTGACAAAAATAGGACAACCACGCGCATGACGTCAAGCGTAGAGTATGTATAGGCGCGAATTTAAAAATACTGACGAAGTGTGAGAAAAATATATGCCATTTAATAAAATTTCATGAAGATTAAAGGATAATATTTTAGAAATTACACAAATATCTAAGGATATTATTATGGAATAGTTAAGGAAAGGGCTATGCGAAAATAAATGCAAATACATAGAAATATTTAGTTTAAGTAACAGTTTTTTTCTTTTGCTTTTTAATGATTTATTTTTGTTATATAAATTAGAATTCAGGTTTTTAATTCTGAAGAACATTCGATTTCTAAATAATAGTTTCTATAACCAGGATAATTAGAAGGGTATCTTCACCACTTAGAAAGTCTCAATATAAGGGACCCTAAGTAAAAATTTCGCATCTGGGGACGCCGGAAATTTTTACCTTCAATAGCATACTTTTTCATTTTGTTGTCTATACGTAGATAGGCTTATATCCATGTGGGTTAGAAAATAGTTATTTTCCTAACAAGTGCGAAAAGTATGAGAAATTCGACACAAGACGAGAGTGGGAAGTTTTTGGTTAGGGAGTCGGTTTTTTTTTTGTTTAGAAAATTCAATTCAAGTAGAGGAGGAAAACTTTTTGCTTGAGGAGCTGTTTTTTTTTTTAGAAAATTCAATTCAAGTAGAACAGGCCCGATCTAGAGAATTGTCCTGGGGCCTGGCCTGGCTCTCGGCGGCCCTGAGCACTTGTACTAAATTTCACTTAGTTATCTTTAAACGTTTAGAAAATATTTACAAAAGAGTGTCATCATGACTTCACTTTTAACACCCTGTATCTCGGAAAAGAAACGTTTTCGGACCTATGTTTATATAAACTTTTACTCCTATTTTAGGATGTAGATTATGCTGTTAAAATATGACCGTCTAATTTCGGGACATCCTGTGTATAATTATATTAAATTGACGCTCAGTTTCAAAACATTAGTCACTATGTCTTTTATTGGTGACTTCGGTTAAAATTGGATATTCCAAAATTTTTTAAATGGGATTATTAACTTTTGACTCTGTCAACACTATTTAGAAATCTAGTGGTTTTTATTTTTTGTTCTTATTTATTATTTAAATAAAAGACAATGGATAGTGTTAGAACCGCTATTTATTTATATTCTTTAAAAAATTACATTTAAGCACAAAGAAATTATTTTAAAAGTTGAATATCGACCACAACTTACTTCTATGCAGATTGTGAACAACATTCATAAATGTAAGTATACAGGTTGTCCCATGGCTAAAAATATCAGCAGTTTTTTGCAAAAAAATTGTAAATAGTTTAAAATTATCTTACAAATTAGTGATGCTTTTAGCCGTAGAACAGGTTGTATATTTTATTTTACTTTGTCACCAGATAATATTCCAAAACAAATCAACGTATTGGTAAAATATGTTTATTTGTTTTTAGAATATTCTTTAGCGTCAAAATATTTTATTAAGTAATATACAATGCAGAATAACAATGTGTATGTAGCACAAACATATCAAAATTATTACTTTTATGGCTGATTCTACCAGTGGTGCAGCTAGAAACACGATTATTCGTCCAAAAAATTGTGTCTGCACCACTGGACAAGCCTCTTTTGTCTTATTGAGATCTCAGAATTCTTAGGTTATAACTGTATTTTTATTGTTTATATAGTTAAATTGTCTTATTAAAATTAATTGTAATATATTGCACAAATAAGTACATTAGGTATTATTTATAAGTTAAAATTTTTTGGTTAGAACCTAAGATGCGATAGTGACAAATATTTCATTTTTTTTTGTATTCGTGGGTATCCAAAAGTGTTGAGTAGTCTCTGGTAAGTATGTCGGGAAATATATAAAAATTGGGACGAATCATCTGAAGTTATTGGTCGTATCAATGTAAAACAGTTAAAACCCATGACCCAGCAAGGAGTTATTTCCACGTCCTGGAACTAGTAAGTGCCAGAAGTGGCTGGATACGGAAACATATGTGGCTAAATGCCACAACATTTTCCTATAGGATTGTAGGAAAGTAAGAAAGGTGTTACAATGTTGCATGAGAAAATTGCCGCTTTTTAAAAAGCAGAAGAGGACCGGGTCTTTGATAAGAAGTAACAATTTACAGAAAATGATAATATTGTAATTATTTTAAACTTTGGAGTCATATTTCTGCTTATATTTATAAGATATTTAGTAAAAAAGAGGGAAAAAGAATAGTGATGAAGTTTTTGAGATTATGTCTACCGGATATAAGAAACTAAGGTTGAATGAGTTTTGTGCGTTGTAAATTTTAATGGAATGAAATATTGTCACCATATCGCCCATATTGTGCCTCTTCGGCTGTTTTTTTCTTTTTTGATATGCAAAATGCATTCCGAAAAATTATTCAGTCTACTATTTGCAAACTGGGTAGAATTTGTCTTTTTTTTGTTTTCAAATTCTTAAAACTGATTTTTTATCTAATGTTATTTAGGATATACTAAACTCTATGAAGTACAGATAACACTTATCTTCTGGTATTTTATAACAATATTATTAATTTTTGCATATTCTTCTTTTTTTTGTCCTTATAATAGAACTATTTATAGCAATTTAACAGTGCTTAAACACATATCGTAGGTGTCCGTATTTTTCTGTAATCATTTTTTGAAGGCAATTGCACACCTTTGCATCCACTTGTGTACTTACTAAATTTTGTTTTTTTTTGACATTGCAATCATAGCGATACATCCTTACTTATTTACGATAAATTTTTTATTTAAAATAATCAATTTATTACAACTACTCGCGCAAAAACTAATTGTACACACCTTTTATAGATCGTTATACTATTTGAGCTAAAGGAGCGTACTATTAATCTATTACACACTGTATTTTTGTGAAAAAATCGCACGTTCGGTAGTCAATCGAACAATTTTCCCAAAAATAACTTCTAAAAAGCATTTTAAATAAAAATATCTATATAAAATGGCTTCATGAGTGTATCTGTATGGCAAACAACAAGCTTTAATACGCACGCGTAGGTAGCTGTCAAAATTGTAATTTTGTCTAGGCTACGTGTGTGTAAAACAATCCGTTGTTTTCTTAGTCTATATTGTCGGATGTAAACGATATTCTAGAATTTAAATTTAAAGTTTGATTTAATCATTGCGACATTTACTAAAAAGCACATTACTTAGAAAAATTATCTCGTACACATGCGGACATCTACGCTTTTAATTCTTAATTATTCAATGCAAACGAATACTGCTTACTTTTACTATAAAATAATAAATTATGCTATATAAAATCACAACGAAATATATTTACATTAAATCATATTTAACACATTCGTCTCTATCACAACACAAAGACGTTTGTCTTCAGCTTTTAGTTATAACTCGAATACCTCATACAATCAACAAGTATAACGCAGATCGCAGAATGAGTCAAAATTATAATGAAACTCTCTTTCAATTTTGTCAAAATTCCTGCTATCTGTCAAACCGATGACAGCTCCAGAACATAAATGCGATTCTTAACATACATGTTTTATGCTCTAAACTGTCACAATTGTCATGTTTTAAAAACTCACACAGTGTATCATTTTGGCAGTGCATTTTGGCTAATCTGGAACTGTCAACTTGTTTAAATGATTAAACTGTTTATAGAGAGATTCCGATGTTCTTAACTCACGCTGACCACTTTTTATTTTATAAATTATTGTGATGCGTCAAATAACTATGATAAAAATGGCTCTCAATGTTATGCATTCAGTGAAGTATTCGACTCCCGTTGACGTTTACCCTGGGTACACCTATGGAAGTCAGTGATAGGTGGCCAAAGCGACCTAAAATTACAGTTTGACGATTCGCAAAAATATAGTCCGTTCAAACATTGAAATACTTTCAATATAAATTTGTTAAACTTAAGAAGTACGAATATTATGCTTTTTAGATTATTAAAGACATTGGAGTTTTGATATACAGATTTGTTTCAATCGTTATTACATTATTAGGATAAATTGATTTTTTTTTGTTGAATATTAAAATTAATTATGAGTTATCTGTAGATAGAGATCAGGCAACGTGTGAGGAAAACTTTTACAGCAATTATTCTTTCAAGAAAGTTTATGGAACGGTTTTTAAATGTAGGTTCAACTTAACGTACTCCGTGTGTCATTGTTACTATCACTTGTCATTTGTCAACTGTAACTGTCATTTGTCATGCAATATGCAAAAAGGTACAACAGGCTGTAAAAGTATTAATTAAATTAAATTATTTTCAAATAGGTATATGTAAAAATGGGATTGTACTGGTAATGCATAAGACCTATTTTATTAAGGGTTTAGAAAATATATTAGTGTGTTAAGTTATGTTTTACCCATTTAAATTATATTTTTTATTGTGTCAGTTATTTGGTATAATCGTTTTTATAGAAATGTCAAATGTCGGATTAGTCATATGTTGCCAATGTTATCAATATTTATATATTTTTTTATAATATATGTCATGTCATCTACAACTTAATTTTTGAGATACATTTCCTAAAAACACATTACATTTGACGATTATGTCATTACAAGATGTGCATTCACAGGATATTTATTATACATTTCAACAAATAGTAAAAACAAAAATGCAGTGGTGTGCTCGAGGGGTAAATTAGTTGATTTCTAAAAAAAAATAAATTAATTAATAACGTTTAACAAATTTTTTGGCTGGTATTTCGGGTCTTAAATCGAATTCACGTAACAAAAATAACTTCTGTATTTCACACTTACAGACTAAGATTTACAGCAAAAAAAAACTATAAATCCCTTTCTCAAAGGACTATATTATATCGGAATCGAACTGTACAATAACTAACAGTGATGGCAGAGTTTAAAATTCCTAAGGTTTTTTCGTGAACTAATTAATCTGGTTAACTAAACTATCTAGACCGTCGCCATGTTTTTCTGTTTTTTGTTTTAAATGTTTTTACTGAAATTTGAATTCTAAAAATACGACCCCTTCGAGTTTTTTACTTGATGGCAGTAGTCGGAGCCCTTGTTTGGCCTACTTGGTGATATCGCTTTTCTTAATCCACCATCAGTTCGAAGTGGACGGACCCTCTTCTGTCTATGCGATCGTGGACGATGTTCTTGGCCCAAGCCTTGCATTCAATGTTGATCAGAACGCCACCTGAAAAAATTAAATCAATTTAAAATAAGGTCTATTATACATAAAAACAATTTAATTCAACTTTTCCTTACAGATAAACTGACTATCTTACAAACATTAATATTGTAAGGATGGGTCTATCCGAAATTGGATTGGAATGCTATTTTATACAAAAATGTCTGAAATCATAAATATACACAAAAGAAACAAAGTACTCGTATGCAATCAAGACAAATTAAAACATTGAATCAAAGGTCAACTTTTAACTTTGATTAAATATTAGAAAAATCTGTGGAAAATAAAAAAAAACAAAATACATGTTGATTTTGTTATAACCATCGACGTTTTTTAAAAATTTGATCAATTCTATTGACAACGTAAGAAGAGATTATAAGCTACTAAGATCCTGACTCTTCTCCAAAATATCATGGAAATTAAAACAGATGCATTGGAATATTTGAATGGTATACGAAAAGGAACTAAACAAAATTGTAGTAAAAGAGTTTTATGAATTGAAATTGGTGTATGGGAAACGAAAATAATGCCATAAACTCAAGAGAAGAGTGACTTTAATATTTCCAATAGGTACATAAAAAGGATGGTAAAAAAGAATGTAAAAATGTCAAGAATATATTGCTAGCAAATGTTTGGTATGAAATACTTATATGCATAGCAATCTACCTGAGAAAAGGAATCAATACGTTACATATTTACATCATATTATTTGGTGATTATTCTTATTGAAGGATATGCGTCACTTTTTATCGATAAGAGGGAAGTATTGTAATTGTGAAAAAGTAACCTTCCAAGAGTATTTCAGATTTTCACGTTTCAGGGTCCATAGATTACGAAAAACATGTTTCCCCAGTCTGTCTGCACTTATATTTCCGATCAGTTATATATACAGCATGAGCAGTTTTTTTAAAATATTTTTAAAAGTCGGTAGAATTAGACTAAAATTTTTATCAGTCGTAGCTCAGACTTCAAAGAGTAAAGGTGTGTGAACTGTTAACGAATAAAAATAAAGTTTCCAGTGGCGTACCATGGCTATTAAACGAGAAAATACAATGGTTTTAGACTTCAAAAATGTTAGGAAAAAACCTCCTAATATTAGTATTCACCGTTGGATTAAACAAATATTTAATTTCACCAATGACCAACTGGTATGTATACAGTTTGATCACATTCGTTCAAAAGTTTTTATTAAAGTAATATCTGAGTGGTTGGTAAAAAAAACAATGCAAAAATTTGAATCTGGGAAATTAATTTATACAGATGAAGAACAAGATTATGAAATTTATATAAGCGAAGAATCAGATGATATATGGATAAGAATTTATGACTTTCCTCCGGAACTAAAGAACTCTAAGATAATCGAACATTTTGGTAAATATGGAATTGTAAAAACCATTCGAAATGAAACTTGGTCAGGTGACGATTTATATAATGTGGAAAGTGGTGTGAGATCAATGTTAATTTCAATGAAAAAAAAGGTACCATCTTACGTTACAATCGAGGGGACCACTTCGTTGGTCACGTATAAAAATCAAGAACGTACATGCATGTTTTGTGACAATCCTGGACATGAAAGAAGGGATTGCCCGAACAAACCAAATAACAGAATAATTGCAATTAGAAGACCAGACGCCGCGATACCAGTTGCAGCGGTGTCAGATGCTGCGGTACCAGATGAGGCGGTACCAGATGATGCGGTACCAGATGCTACGATATTAGAAGAGGTAAATGCTCACATGGCTATATCCCACAAAGATACAAACATCAGTCACTCAGATATGGACAAAATCTCAAAGTTTATAACAAACGAAATTACGCATCATGACGATGCTAATTCTGACTCAGAAAACCAAATGTTTTTTGAAAACACCCTTGCAACACCTATCGCAGATATTAAAACAACAGAAGATCATAGTGCACTTCCAAACATAACTATTCACAATCCTCCACAATATTCAACCTTGGCAAGTGAAAAAGAGGCTGCCGATCTTACATCCCAAATCGATATTATTTCAGCGACTCCAGAAAACATGAACAAAAAAACTGAGAAAAAGAGAAAAAAGAAAGAAAAGTCTAGTGAAAGCTCGGGCGAAGAAGAAAGAAAAGTTCCAAAGTTACAAATTAATTTGAAAAATCAAAGTAGTCAAATAATTGATGAAAGTGAAGATAACATAAAGGAAAATAATGAAAGCGATACCCAAATGAGCGACTCTGATTTATTCTTTTAGGTATACATAGATAAATATATATTTTTTTTATTTTATCTTTTAAGATAGTCACAAAATTATATACAGTTTTATCGGTAAATTGTAGCTCGCTTAAAAATCCGACGAAACAAGGTCTCTTTTTTGATTTCATTCGAAAGCATGATATTGATATCATTTTTGTACAAGAATTAAACATTGACTTTTTAAAATTTTCATATGGATATAATATGATTCCAAATGTAGGCAACGCAAACAGAGGGACAGGTGTTATTTATAGAAATGGGTATGAAGTTAAAGATATTATTTGTTCACTTGATGGTCGCATTATTTCAGTAAATATTAATAACATTCGTTACATAAATGTTTATGCTCCATCAGGTGGACAAAATTATAAGACAAGAAATGATTTTTTTCAAAATGAAATACTCGTACATTTTAATTTTAATTATCCTACAATTCTATTAGGCGACTTCAACTGTGTTATTCAACAAAAAGACTCGAGAAATAATGCCTCAATTTGCAGAATGCTTTTACAGCTTATACAAAATTCAAATCTTATAGATACTTGGGATTTTCTTTATAAAAATAAAATTGAATACACATTTATCAGAGGCAATTGTGCCACTCGCATTGATAGAGCCTATATATCTAAAGAGCACCAAAAGTTAATAAAAAAAGCCGAAATTAAACCTGTTGCTTTTTCCGATCATTCGGCATATATTCTTTATTTAGAAAAATTAGATAATTTAAAACCGTTATATCATGGGTGGGGATATTGGAAAATAAAAAAAGCAACTCTAATAGAAGAAAACATAAATAGTTTCAAAAATGAAATAATTAAATTAAAAACAAACTATTGGTACAATACAGATTTCATTAAATGGTGGTTCTATATTTTTAAAAGGAAAGTAAAATCTTTTTTTAAGAATATAGAAATATCAGATGCAATAGATGAGAAAAAGATGTTTGAATTTTATCAAGGGTCTCTAATAGAACTAAACGAAAAACAAAAACAAGGTGAACAAGTTTATCAAGAAATACTGGAAATTAAAAATATTATTGTTGAATTAAAACAAAAACAACTAGAAAAAAAATTCTTAAATAAAAATAAAGATCAATTTAATGAAAAATATTCACTTTTTGATTTAATGAAAGAAAGAAAAAATAAAGTTTCAATAATATCAAAACTTCAAACTGAAGACCAAATAACATTAACAACATCTAAAGACATACTTCAATATACAACGAATCATTTTATTGATAAATTTAAAATAAGAGCAATCAAAGATTCTGATGTTCGATGTATGGTAGCACATATACAAAAAAAACTATCTGATGTAGATAATAAAATAATATTAAATTCAATAAAAAAAGAAGAAATAAGAAATGTATTAGATGAAGTATCAAAGAAAAAAACTCCAGGCTTAGATGGTATATGCTACGAGTTTTACATCTTGTTTTTTGATATCATTGGAGACGAATTGACCAAACTTCTTAACGATATCTTTACAAATACAACAACTCCTAATAAAGAATTTTCAGAAGCAATAATCACTTTAATTCCAAAAATAAAAAACCCAATTACTATGAATCATTGGAGACCCATTACATTATTAAACACCGATTATAAAATACTAATGAAAATTTTAGCAAATAGATTTCAAATGGTTATATCAAAAGTTTTAGGTGATCAACAAAGCTGTGGTACAACTAAATCAATCTTCAACAATCTCCTTTTAATTAGGGACACTATATTGGATTTCGACAATGAAAAAAAGTCTTTAGGAGGCATCCTAAATCTCGACTTTAATCAGGCATTTGACAGAGTCAACCATTCTTACCTATGGCAAGTAATGCAAGCAATGCAATTTGATAATAAAATTGTTAATTTCTTAAAAAATATATATAGTGTAGCAAATTCGTCTCTTATGATAAACGGTTTTTTGTCAAAAAAAATCGATATTCGTAGCTCGGTACGACAAGGATGCCCACTATCCATGATTCTTTTCAGCATCTCTATGGAACCATTTTTAAAAATATGTGACTTTTCATTACCAGGGTTAAAAATTTCTAACCGCACAATTAAAATATCTGCATACGCAGATGACATAACTATATACTTTGAAAAACAAAAAGATATCGACATTGTAGATAAACTGCTTAAAATCTATTGTGGAGCCTCTAACGCAGCAGTTAACTTTCAGAAATCATTTATTGTTCCATTAGGAAAATTAGCAAAATCGTTCCCAGAAAAATTAGGAAAATTTCCATTTAAGACAGAAACAAAAATTTTGGGCATGTGGGTGGCTTCAAACTTTAATACAATGATTAAAACCAACTGGGAACAAATTATAAAGAACATAAACACTTGTCTGCAGTTAAGTTACACACGTAACTTCGATTTAATTAAAAAAATTCAATTCATAAATATATATGTCCTTTCAAAATCGTGGTATATTGCACAATTGTTACCAGTTACCCATTTACATGCTCAAAAAATCGTAATGTATACAGGAAACTATATATGGAGGGGTCATTTATACCGGGTGGCAAGGGACCAATTATATTTACCTTTTAAAAAAGGAGGTTTAAATTTAATTAATTTTGAAATTAAGGCTAAATCACTTTTTGCAAAGACCCAACAACTCTCTTGGACAAACTGTAAAAATAAAATTACTTATAAATCGACTTTAAATAACTTATTCGATAAAAATTTGAGCTCACAAATACCCAAATGTCTAAAAAAGTACTATGAATTCATTCAAAAGTTCAATTGGATTCAAAATATTACAGTCAATACGAACCAAATTTACAAAGACGCAATAGATAACATTACAATAACTCCAGCAATTGAAAAAAAATTTCCCAAGATAAAATGGAAAACAGTCTGGAAGGTCATTAATAACAATGACATTCCTTCCAAGTGGCGCTCTGTAGTATACAAAGCGATAAATGACATATACGCAGTAAGATCAAAAACGCACCGCCACGGTATTACCGATTCTAACATATGTAGCGAATGCAATGTTTTTGACGACATGTCACACCGTATTAAAGACTGCATTTTGTCTAAAAACATTTGGGATTGGTGTAAACAGCGTATTTTAAACAAGTTTTTGCAATGTAATCAAAATGGAGACCCTAAAGATATTTTTCAAATTGAATATTCTAATAGTTCAGATACAAATGTTTGGATATGGTTTTATAGCGCTCTATTATATAATAACTTAGAAGGCTTTAAAGATTTAACAGAATTTATTAATATGTTAAGAAGAGACAGAATGTCAAAAATTTCATTAGGTACAATAAGAAAATTCTCAAAAAAAATTTTCGCCTTTTAAGGCGTTTTATTCTGTGATATTCTTTTAGTAGATGTAAGTTAATTTTAGTGTACAATACTGTAAAGTTTTTTGTATAATAAAGTGTTAAAAAAAAAAAAAAAAAAAAAAATCTGGCAATTTTAGAAGTCAAAGACAACAGATCCTAAAGAAGTTTAAAAAATTCAAAATGGCGTTGAAAGGAATCGTATTTAATAAAAAAGGTCCCCATAGAATAGAAATAATAAAAATCGCCCTTTGGTTTGTGTAACGTAACAAAGAATACCGAGCGGACGCGAAGTGATATTTCGGATGGGATCAAGAGGAATATTGATGAGAGATAAATGTGAAAAAGGGTTTTTGGTTTGGTTGTTTTAATTTTAAATTATTAAAATTTAAGTGCTTAGGAGTTCCCTCTTTTAACAATTTCTATATCGAGGGAAGTTCTGGGCAAAATACTTCACCGATTTTTTAATATTCCGTAGTTTTGTACGTTTTTTAGTATGGAATTATTAACTTTTAAAAAATTTGGAAATTATTTTTGTAATGGTAGTAGGAAAAGCTAGTCTAAGCGGAAAACATATTACTTAGGTTTTTAGAGTTTGTTCCGTCTCGGCCTTGCGCAATAGGTTAAAGGCATTACACATTTTTTGAAATAACTCCGTCACTAGGAGCTTTATTGCTGTGTAAAACAGTTCAGCATATACTACAGACTTTCAGCTCTTTTGTCGTGAATTTAACTCATTTTTAGAACAAAAAGTGACTTTCATCGTTTTGGCTGTGTGCTCTTCATTCTTTATTTGGCTGACGTTAATTCTTCAGAAGAAAAAACAGAAAAAACAAAGGTTATGGGTTATTGACAAAAATTCAAAATCACAGGGGAGTCTAAAGCTAAAAATGAAAATTCCTCGCTATGTATGGCTATGAATTGGTCCAAATAGTTTTGTGACTATCCAGATGATTTGACCAAAGATATTCGTTTGAACAAATCCATGATTATTTTTCTAGAATTGTTTATACTTACGTTTGGGTTGCTCAAAGTGTACAGCCACCAATGGCGCTAAATACCCATCTTGATTTTTGAAGGGGAAGTATTGCGAGGCGAAACCTCGTTGCGGAATGTATCTCAGCGGGCCGATATTCTCTTTATCAGCTGGATTCTCGCCTTCGCAAGTCACCCACACCATGAGATGCTAAAATATAATACAATAAAATTAATAATCAGAAAAAAACTACATAATAGAAATATTTATTTATGGAAACTATATCATTAAGATTCAGCTCAAACCAGGTACTAGAACTTATCCTTATAAAACCCCAAAATACTTTTTGACTAGACCTTACAAAACATTGAACGCGATACTCGATAATAGTTTTACACACACATTTTAAATGAAATGCGAGTTGATAATTTCAGTTTTTAAAAACAATTTTTGTGAATAATGCATGATAATAATATGAGAGGCTTACACTACTTGTCAAAAGCGTCGATTTTTAAACTCATTCAAAACCTAGTATCACAGTTTCTGCATCCCTATTCTTTATTCCCTATTCCCCATTCTGTATTCCCTATTCCATATTCCCTATTCCATATTCCCTATTCCCTATTCCATATTCCCTATTCCATATTCCATATTCTCTATTCCATATTCCCTATTTCCTAACCCTATTCCCTAATCCCTACTTCCAATTTCCCATTACCTATTCTTTATTCCCATTACATGTTCCCTATTCCCCATTACCTATTTCTTATTCCCCATTCTTCATTCCCCATTCCTCATTCCCCATTCCCCATTTCCAATCCCCCATTCCCTGTTCACTATTCCTTGTTCCCTATGCCCTCTCAAGTGACAGCCAACCCTTCATTTTTTAAATAGCAAGAGGGTCACATGCCACTTCATTGAAAAGACAATTTTATGGGAAATTTAGAAATATGACTGTTGATTTGGTTATTTTATTAGCACCCTCTAACTGGATAAAATCTATTATGTTTTGTAAAGTGTGTTACTTTATTTGAGAGCTAATTCTATTGGTAATTTATAATATTATATTGCATTATTACAAACACTAAACTTTATTTTGTTGTTCTATCGAGATTATTCGAATTTGCTTTTTAGTTACGATGTTGTTAAATCTAATTAGTTTTACTGCTAAAATACGATACATGTAGGTACTTACTTCGTTTCTTGTTTCTGCATCTAGAATATCTTTTCTCAGATATTCACTCATTACAGAAGCATCAGGCAAGTTTGTCGAATTATAATACTCAGGGTTCCAATTATAAATCTAAAAATAGAAGAATATATTAGAAATTTTAACAAAATAAAAAATTTGAATAAGGATAATTTCCTGACCGTAGCAGAATTTTATATAAATAAAAATTTCCTTGGTTTATTCGATCATTAATTTATTTTCTATCGTTAGCGCAGCACTACATATTTTCGGAAAATTTTGTTTCCATCGTCGGGTACAGTCAAAATTTAAAAAACACATGGGGACGATTACAAATTTTTAAAATAAAATTAGTGACCCAATAAACCAAGCAAATTTTTATTTATATAAAAATACAAAATGTTCCAGATAAAATCCAATTTCGATATTTTGCAATTCTGTTAACATAAAATTGAGTTGGGTTTTACTTTAGTTGATCTGTTTAGATTTCAGTACTGTTGAAATTACCTTGTTAAGTTTTAAGAAGATGCACGGTCCACCTTTTTCGTCTTCGTACCCGAATCCGGCCTCGGGTAAACAGGGATGCCATTTTTGTGGTGTCATTTTGACATCGCATACTTTTCCAGGCGTTGGACTTACGAACATACTACACTGTTCGACGTTGTTATAATGTGGATTATTATCTTTATGGTAGGCTACAAGCAAATAAAGTTGACATTTTCCGTCACAATATTTAATAGATAAAGTGATATATGCCATATTAGTGTGACGTAATTTTGTTTCCACTAACCAAACTTTTAACAAAATTATCATCGAGTTTAACAAATATGTTTCTACTGTTTTTTTTTTCTTTTTCTAAATATTGTTTGCAGATATTGGCGCCGCCACGAGTGGGCAAGGGGGGCGTGTGATTTTGGATTTTTCGCTATGGCTTTCGACTACAACCTGCAACGTTTTGACCTTGCCTATAAGACTTACCCTACTGGAAATTTTTTGAAAGACGCCTATGTTTGCAGGTCATAAATAGTTAAGAGGTATGTAATTGATTACTAAACCATTATATATCAACTTAATTTATATATTTATAAAAGTTTAAAAGCTATATAATTTAGGTTAACAAACGAACATAACGCATTACTGTAATTGTCAGTGGCACCAAAATTACATCATCACTAATTTACTTAGCGTATAAAAGAAACATTTAACTTAGAAGTGACAACTACAGATTTCAGCTAAACAATCCGGATAAACATATTGACAGTAAAAGGAGGCTAGGATAACAGTGTACCTGTAAGAAGGTAACAGATTGACAGTAAAAGAATAATAGACTAACAGTAAAAGACTAACAAAGTATTATTAAAGGGTTAACAAGGTAATAGTAAAGGGGTAACAGTAAAACACCGTTGGATCGGATACAGAAAAGAAGTAACCCACTACTGGATACGGATACTTACAAAGTATACGGATACTTTCACCTAAAAATGTACTTGGCTACAAGTATCCAGATCTTTTTTTTCGGATATTTTAAACTATAAATGATACTTTTAAAATGAATTTCGACCATCTATATACTGGGAGAATCGTTAAATTTATCCTTTAGTGATGCAGTTTACAGCAATTTTAAATGTTTTTGATAAAATAAAAAAAAATCGGAAAATATCTAAGACATTTTTACAAACACAGAGCTACAAATAGATAAAGCAATTAATTCACTTTTACTTCTTTTTAAGTATTGCAATTGTATCTTAAATATTCTAATATTAATTTATTTCTAATTATACAGGATTATCCAAAACGTAAACAAACATTTCGGTTATAACTAATAAAATATATTAGATTTATCGAGGTTTTTTGGAATACAAATCGACCTATTTCAGCATTTTCTTAAAATCCAATGAATACTGCCAAATAACAGGTTGGACTCGTTTGAGTGACCCACTCTGTATATAATTTGAGCTATGCCTCTATAAAATACAGAACTATCGGGATACTATCAATATCTGCAGTAAAGGGGTAATAATATTAAAAGGGTAACAGTAAAAAGGCAAACAGAATATTTAGGGTAAAAAGGAAACAGAAAAACAGTAACGGTATAACAGTAAAATGCTAATAGAATAACAGTAAAGGGGTAATATTAAAATGGGTATCATTAAAATCGATAACGGAATTGTAAGAGTAACGGTAAAAGGAAAAAGTGTACCTAATTAAAGGTAAATAAGGTGATAGATGAACGTTCACATAACTTACATTCTACAAATTTTCTTAATTCGTCTTGCCAATAATGTACGTTTCCCTTATCACTACTTTTGTACCAAATTAAAGTACTTTCTACATTGGACTCTGGTGGCATGGGTCTAAAACCCAAACCTGGAAAAAAGGTAAAAATTGATATTATGTGCAAGAATTAATAAATTTTAATATAATTTGAACCATTTTTATGTGTATAATGTTTAAAATATTTCTCTTCTACGCCTTGGTAATATTTTAGTCTTCTCGAGGTGTTTTGTCTACCTTTTAATTTTCCTGATACCTTTATAGAGGGATGGTGCCGTTTACCTAAGGTCATGTCATGCTAACCATTTCCGAAGAATCCCTTAAGTTCCTCTCTATCTTAAAATAGAGGCCATAAAAGGCCCAAATAAGGCAGAGATGAACTTAAGAGATTATTTGGAAATAGCTCGCATGACAGTAAGTTCATAATCTCAGAACTATTGTCACTTTGGATTCAGAGATACATTACCAACTTTCGCATTTTACTAACAAATAATAGAGAAAAAATTTATGATAGATATTCTTTTTTGATGTAAACTTACCGGGATTCTTTCCGATTAATCCATTGTCTAGTTCCCATTTGGGTTTCTTCATATCTAATGTTTGATAGAATACTGCTACCAGTGCAACAAAAAATCCTACTAAAACTGCGTAGAAAATGAGATAAAATAATAAGATTTTGGCTGCAACAAAAAAAAATGAATTAGTATTTTATACAGAGTGGTTGTCAGTATACTGCTACATTATTTAATGGGTCTTACAATCTTTATAACTAAGATAGATTTTTCTCATTTCTTTAAACGAACATAACAAACAAACCACCAAGAATATGTATTTGTATCTGTGACGTGGGGGGAGGGTGGGTAGCCCTAGAGTACTTAGGCCTCATTATGCCCATTATGCATCCTCCTGAATCGGTGAGGCTGCATGTACCTACTAACCAACAAGTAAGTTTTTTGATATTTCTTAGATATATTTTTCTAAATCCAGGTCCAGACTAACACTACAAAAGCCTGTGAAGATCTGAGAACATGAATGTTCATTTTTCCTCCTATTTACGTATTCCACGCGTGTTCACGTCTTGGTCTTCAACCTAGTTGGTTTTTGGTACCCGCTTCAAAGGTTTCGCGTTTAAGAAATGCGAACGCTATCCACAATCCACATTCACAAATCACGACAGTGCCCAGTTCTAAGATTTTAGCAGTAGTTCTACCATTTTTGTCACTTTTTCCTGTTCTACTGTTTTGAGTTTAAAATCTATTCTATTCATTGACTATAATTCTCTGTATCTGTAACGTGTAGAGGATGGGTTACCCCCACGGCACTTAGGCCTCACTAGGCCCATTGTGCATCCTCCTAAGATGATAGGCACCTCCTAGCTAGTGAGCCAGCTTAGAGATTTAATGTAGTTGACAACGTCGTCAAGAGATGCTTCTCTTATATCGGCCGGTGTTAGCCGATACTCGCCGAACACAAATCTTCTAATAAATGAGAGCGTCGAGCAATCGTAGAGGATATGCTCGATGGTATCGTCTTCTTGTTCGCACCCGTGCAGCGTGCGGATTCTGACAGCCCAATGATATGGAGATGCTTTCGTACTTGGAAATGACCAGTCAGAATTCCTTTGACTAGGCGTAGATTCTGTCTAGTCATAGTCAAGTATTTGATTACTGCAGTGTTGTCAGGATAACTTAAAAGCTTCCTGGCAACTCTGCAGTTTCTTGTTTCATCCCATCTATCCTTGAATTTCATAAGGGAATGTTCTTTAATTAGGTCTGTCACTACCGATTTTGTCAGGCCAATAGAAGGGCCAGGTCCAAAAAGTATTTGGTTGCTTTCTTGGCCAGTGAATCGATTACTGCAGTGTTGTCAGGATAACTTAAAAGCTCCCTGGCAACTCTGCAGTTTCTTGTTTCATCCTATCTATCCTTAAATTTCACAAGGGAATGTTCTTTAATTAGATATGTCACTACTGATTTTGTCAGACCAATAGAAGGGACAGGTCCAAAAAGTATTTGGTTGCTTTCTTGGCCAGTGAATCGATGTGGCATTACCTTTAATCCATCTTAAGTAGACCACTTTGTTGATGGATACTTCGGCCAAAACTTCGTGACATTCTAGTACTAACCCTGAATAAATTCGTGGTCTGTTCAGGGTGAGTGATGCTTGTCTGCTATCCGTATAGATGAGCATGTTCCTTCCAGTAATATTGTTTCTGGTTATTTCTTTTGCTGCTATGAGAATCCTCGTTAGCTCTGTTTGAACTACACTGGCACTATTGCTCACAGCCCATTTTATGTTTATGTTTAAGGATCTGGGAGTATATTCCACATCCTGGGCCTTGTTTTGTTTTAGAACCGTCAGTGTAGATATGAATTGTACCTGCCACTTCCGGCTCTTCTATTTGATCTATTATGACTTTATATGGCTTATGGAAAATAATTAAAAATTACTCTATTCTAGATTTTTAAAAAATTATGTTCAGGCTGTTGTTTTGAGGTGCAACAATTTATTAATATTTGTTAAAACGTATATATCAAATATTCAAAAAATATACTGACATACGAGTAATTTTCGATTAGTTGGTTAATACGCCAGTCTAGAAAATGGGGGTCCGTCAAACTCAAGTTTTGGAAAATGCGCTAACATTCGAGAAACACCACTTGTATGTATAAATAGACTGTTTTGCTGTTGGAGTAGACAGTTTAACTCGAGATATTGTTGTGTTAAGATATATGTTGTCAAAGTAAATTAGTAAATAAGTATTTGAGATAAATTACTGTTGTATTGTTATAAAATAAATGAATTGTAAATAAATATAGTGTAAATAAATTAGTGAATTTAACGTTAAACATTAGATAATAAACTGTTTAAAATAAATTATAAATTGGACGGTTCGTTCGTTATGATCATCGAAAGAAATAAGCATAATCGGTACCTCACTATCTTAGTAATAAAGATTGTAAGATTGTAATATAAAAATCCATAAGATTGTAACAAATATCAATAAATTAAACTATACAATAAATTTGTCCAAGAGTGTATTAATCATTTTTTAACACTGCCACATGTAGTTAATTTTAGCACTATGAATTATTAAGATAAAAAGTATATTGTCCAAACCATAAAACCCATTACAAGTTAGATTTAAGGAACACATGGTTCATAAAATTTAAATCGACCAATTTAAACTATTTTCTTTGCACACTTGTCATTAGGAAGGGAGGGGGATTAAGTTATAGAAAAACAGCAAGAAAAAATATATATTTAGGACACATATTAACGCGCGATCTGACACTGTTGCATCATGTTTAACATATCGGATCTTTCATCAAATTGGTCCATAATTGATGATTAAAAATGTAAGTAAGGTTAAGAATATATTATCTAATATTATCTTTTCGTATTATATTTTGATTGTAGATATTTGATAAATGGATTCTATTAAATATTTAGAGGGATTTTTTTAAATTACTCTGACTTAAGAAAAACAGCTATTTATTATATATTGGACAAACTAGAAGAACCTTACTAGTTAGAATTAAAAATCACATGGTATATTGACTTTCAACAGGGAAAATCCAGGATTTAGCTGTTTCCTGGAGTAGCTTACTTTACTACTTGCTTGAGTGCGGATATTTAAATAGGTGATGTGTTCATACATGACTTTCCTGTAAAGTTATTAAACATATTGAGTACCGCCTATCTAATAAAAAGTATTTACAATATGAATTAAATTTTCCATTCATATTTTATTCTACGAGTATACATTCTTTCATATCTTCATTGCGAACGAAAATATTGAGAAAATTATGTTTTCGCACTTTTCCCCTATTTTCTCCAATACAGTCCATTTTAGAAAAATTATAGAGAATTACATAGCAAACAACTGTTTTTAAGAATTTGCTTCTCTAATAATAAATAATAGAAATATGCCTTAAAGTATAAAAACAACTACATATAAAGTATCCCTCAAATGCTCCGACTATGCATAAAATTTAATTAGCTCACCACAGGATGGATTAAATCATTAGTTTAAAATTTGGTGTTTTTCTCTTTGTTCGATTTTAAGTTATCGTGGATTCAGACGTACACTGACAGACTTCTTCGAGAAAATAGGCCAATCGAATTCAGGGGATCCCAAAACATTGAAAATATATAAAAAATGAACAATCCCTTTTTAGCGATTGTCATCTTATAACTCGGAAACTATTAACAATTTGTAAATAACTTTTCTGTTTAAACTGAAAGTACATGTAATTTTCTACAATATTCACTATTTATGTTTATCTTTAACGAACCGTTCAGGCTCCAGCTATAGTTGAAAATTGGCAAATTTCGGTTGTATCCGGAAAAATCTACGTTTTCAATTCCAGTACTCTAATTTATTATAAAAGGCTGTCATTTAGTGAATTCCTTCCAGTTATCTGCACGTAACTTATTTAGATCGTATACAGTGATCATCATAAGTCTTACCCCCCTATCTAACTCGTTACTGGAGTCTTGTTAGGAAAACTGCCGAGACACGTCGATTTTTAATTTCTACAATGTACATTTTTGTATGAATAGTTTACCCTTAATTTCATCCCTTACTGGAGGGGAGCAACCCTTTCGAAAAATTTAAATGGCATGGGGTGGTAAGTGATAGCTCATTTGAAAGGGGGTTTTATTCTCTATTCAACCATGCAAAAAATTTTGAAATTTGCTTCATTAATTCTCGACTAACTATTGCTTCAGAATAACGGAAATTAACGTAGCGTACTCATCCTTAGAATTAAAATTCGACCCTGCATGATATCGGTTTTGGTTCAGACGTGAAGTAAGACTTTTAGATAAGGTCACTGTTAGTTTAGTTGCTTTCTTATTTGTGATGTTTTGTTATTTTTAAACATTAATAAATCAACACGTAATGAAGCAAATTTCAATTTTTTTTGTACGGTTGAATAGATAATAAAACCCCCTTTCAAATGAGCTATCACTCACCATCCCATGCCGTTTAAAATTTTCGAAAGGGTTGCTCCCGTCCAGTAAGGGATGAAATTAAGGATAAACTATTCATACAAAAATGTACATGGTAGAAATCAAAAATCGACGTGTCTCGGCGATTTTCCTAACAAGACTCCAGTAACGAGTTAGCTAGGGGGGGTAAGACTTATGATGCTCGCTGTATGTAAAAGTACAGGTATTTTTTTCAAAAAACAATGTTCAAGTTATTTAAAGAAGTCCAAAATTTCATTAATTCAGTAACAAAAAGATTGAAATTCCAACAAAAATCTTGAAAAATTATTATATATTATATTACATAAAATGCTTATATATTTAATATACACTGCACCGCAAAATTAAACGGACTCGCGAAATTTTAAAGTTTTCTCCTTTTAGTTTTGTTGAATTGCCCTGTATAATAATTAAATATATTTATCAAAATATAAGTTGCCTTTATCCATTCGTTTTTCAAAAGTTTGTCATTTTTTGTGTGTGATTGGCTGCTTTTTCGGGAAAGAAAAGTGATTTTATCAAGAATAATTTAAAATGAGGCCAGATCAAGTAGCGCAAGCTGTTGCCTTACATAATGATGGTCGTTCCATTCGTTATATCAAAGTAATGCTTGGCGTTCCGCGAAATACAATATCTGATGCTTTACGAAGATTTAGAAAAAATGGTTCTTACTCTAGAAGACCTG